ATTTAGTGCTGTACATTTTCTATTTGAAATAAGGTTATACTTTTTATCTATCGGGGCTGTAAGATTATAAACATTTATCAATATTTTTTAATTATTCTTTCAATAACTTATTTTATTCGATACAACTATTTATTTTGTTGACTTTTTTAAAAAGAGTTTTAAGAACCTTTTAATTTGTTTTTATTAAAACTTTATATGACTTTTAGATAGTTTATTTACTATATTTTCGTTTATTTTGTTTATTTGCTATATTAAAATAATATAGCAAAAGAAGTATAAAAACAACTCCAAAATAAAAAAAAATGATTAAAAAAAACCATTTTGCTTAAAGAGTGAAATTTTATACAGAATAAACCATTTATTTTTTAAACAGGCCTTGATAAGAAGCTTACACAGTAAGTTCACAGAAAGTTACACAGCAAGCATTTTATGTTAATTTTATTTTAATTTATGTTATTTTATAAATATAAATTATATAATAATACCAAATTTAGATTTTATCAGTAAGATTTGTTATATTTGTTTAAATGATTTTTAACGCTGTTTAAAATTAAATTTAATTACAATACGCCAATTTAAATACACTAATGATGCAGTTAAAATAACACACTAATGATGCAGTTAAATTAATAACTTTTAATGACATAAATATCAAAGTTGAGTTAAAGTTACATTTATAAGTGTTAAAAGTTTTAAGCAATAAAATCTCATAACAAGGCTTGCTTAAAGGGACTATCTGAGGCTAAGCTCTAATATTCTCAGTTTAGTAAATCTTGTATTTTATTTCAGATGATAGGTTCTAGAGAAATTTCTGTTACAAATTTCTGGGTCATTTGACAAATAATTACCCACTGAACAGTTGTTGAAATTTTTTTCAAAAAAAGAGACTTTTGGAAAATCTTTAACAGTGTCATTAACAAAGGTCTTACATTTCTAATTTGGAATTTCTAATAAATGTGTCTGATCTTATTACCTCACACAAAGGATAAGGCAGAACTATTTGTAAACAACTTTTCCACTTATTCGACTCTTGAATCTATGACCATACTCTTTCTGCCATTCTATGTATATAGGGTTAACAAATTTTTAGACATCCAAATCTCCAACCAAAATTCCAACTTTCATTGCTAAAGTCTTATTTCTCAATTAAACTTTTCCATGGTTTGTGGTTTAGATAATATTCTCTTTAAACTTTTGGATAAGTGCTTAACTTAATCTTCTTTTTCTGTCTGTTGGAAAACGACATCTGTGGTACCAATTTTTTTTTTGGCAAAATTGATCCCTCTGACCTTTCTACCTATTCCAATTTTTCTTCTCTCTCTATTATTAGTCTTCCAGTCTTTATTTAACCTATTTAAAGTCAACCTTAAATCTGATGTCTTTTTTGTGACAGTAGGCTTGCAGTGGCTTGTAAATTTTAACCTTAACAAAAACCTGAACATGTTATTCAATGTTATATTATTACAATTATTATTACAAATAATATAATCTATATAATGCAGTTTTTATTATTACAACAATTATTACAATATTGTTAATGTTCCGGTAATGATCGCAACACTTACTTAGTCCTCTACTTGACAATTTGGTAATAATATTGGAAATCATATATACAATCCATTACAGAGTAAGGATTTGCTGTTTTGCCTCTCTTTATTGTGCTAGCCATTTCCAAATATATCCAACCAAATATATTCTTTAATACCTCTACAAATCTTGTATTTGTTTCTGTTTGGAACTGTTGTTATATTTGGGCTGGTTCTTTTAATGACGCGCTTTCTCTTCAAGGTTAAAAAAGGACAAGGTGAAAAAGCCTGTTGTAAATGTGATCTGCTCGAGTTGTTGCCAAGCTTAAACCTCTGCATCATTGTAAAACTCCATCTCATTATCTTTCCTAACAAGCTATTATACTTTGTTCCATCAACCAAAACTCAATCTTCCATGACTTGCAATTCAGCAAAGATCCATCCTTTTACTGTATTTGTCCTTTCATGCACTAAAAACTTATCTAGTTTTTTTCCTAGAAATTCAGTGCTTTAAACTTCTGTGCCATCTTTATGTCTGAATTAAACAACTTACAGTTTTTTTAAACTACTCTTAATTTTTTTCTAACTCTTTAACAATGCTCTTTTCTGGTAGTTCTTAGCTTAAACATAATTTAAACTTAAACATGAAAAGATGGTTGCTTAAAGCCTTAATACAGTTTTAAAAAAAGTTCTTCAATTGTTCATAAATAATTTCAGTAATTATTCTTCAATTATTTATATTAAAATAAAATAAACAAAAAAACTTATTTAATTTAAATAAGATTTTTTTTTTAATTATTTTTTTCTTGATCTGTATATTTTTAAAAATAAGAAGAAATGTATTAACTATTAACTAATTAACAAATGCTTTAACTAATAAAATGAGAATCTTTACATTTTATAAATGAAATAACAACTTTCAATTGCAAATTTACCTGTCATTATTGTAATAATAGTTTCATTGTTTACTTTTTTACATATTTTTAATTGTTTTTATTTTTATTTTTAATTGATACTTTCTTTATTATAATTTATGCATACTTACTGGAGCAATTGGGCTTGAAAGACCTTTCACAAAGATATTGTTCATAGTACAAAATGTAGAGCTTTTTTGACTCAAACATTCTGTTGAACTTCCCATCCAATTTAATCCTCCTAATGCTAAACCTGGCAAAGGTTTTCCAGCAGCATCAAAATCTATTCAAAAGCAAAAACAATGTGTATACATTATATGATATTATATTATGCATAATACATACATTAATAATATATTAATTTATGCAGTATATAAGAGAGTTAATATAAACTGGCCTGAGATGCAACTAAACAGATTAAAACATTAATAGAAATTAATTAAATACTCAATAAAATTAATAGTAATTAAACAAAAACAGCAATAACAAGTTAAAAACAGGTAGTCTGTAATTTAAAAATTTTAATGGTCAAAGTAAATTAATGTATTTACTTTGACCATTAAAATTTTAAAATTACAGATGTTAGTTTAGAAAGATAACACTTTTAAAAAGTAGGGTTGACATTTAGTAGTAAAGATTTATTTTTTTGTCAACATTAACAAATGTCAACCTATATATATATATATACATATATATATATATATATATATATATATATATATATATATATATATATATATATATATATATATGTATATATATATGTATAATATATATATATATATATATATATATATATATATATATATATATATATATATATATATGTATATATATATATATATATATATATATATATACATATACAAACAATAAATCTAAAAAAAACTTAAAAATAAAAACCAAAAAATAAAAAACCTACTCAGTGTATAAAGTCCAAAATATACAAGGCCCAAGTAGGATTCTCACCTAATGTTTAAGCCTAGCTTACACATTAGGTGGACATTTGCTTACATGAAAGTGTATGCAAGTATCTAACTTATGCAAACTTCAAGTTATGTAATGTTAAAACATATTTATATTAAGTTTTTCAGTTTAACTTTTACTTGAAAATTGTATTGTGAAATTATATATATATATATATATATATATATATATATATATATATATATATATATATATATATATATATATATACTTTTACAATTACAATTTAGATACTTGCATATAACAAAAAGTTAGATACTTGCATACACTTTCGTCTAAGCAAATGTCCACCTAATGTGTAAGCTAGGCTTAAACATTAGATGAGAATCCTACATGGGCCTTGTATATTTTGGACTTTATACACTGAGTAGGTTTTTTATTTTTTGGTTTTTATTTTTAATTTTTTTTTAGATTTATTGTTTGTGATAGTCTTAACCTTACTTTTACTAAAAATAAAAACCAAAAAATAAAAAAAAATAAAAAGGTCCCATAAATCAAATTTAAATTATTTATTATACCAAGTAAGTGTAATTATTATAAAAAGTTAAACCAATTAAAATGTTTTAGGACCTTAAGTATCATAACTAAAGAAATCTGTTTCAAAACTAGTCTTAGATGCTCAACATTCAAAAAAATTTTTTTTGAAAAGTAAAACGTGGAAAAGTTCAATATTTATTAATATGTATTATTAGCTCATAGTGAATATTTTACCTCATACGTAATTTCATTTTACCTCATAAGTATTTCATTAAACTTTTTTCAAATTTGTGAAGTGAAGAAATAATTACAATAAAAAAATGTAAATAATTATAATAAAAATGTTATGTATGATACACATTTTTTATACTTGGCAAAAAAAGTACTTTTTAATAGTATTATTTGCTGTTACAAAAAAAACTGGCGACTGACAATCAGAGGTGCATTTTGAGAGAACTAGTAAACTTGTGAGGCAAAGCTGAATTAGACAACAATTTCATACTCACAGAGTAAATCTGAAAAAAATTACCAACAAGATCAATAAGTACTAATCCCTAAAATGATTCAAGACTCTAAATCTACCAAAAAGCTACTGCAAGAAAGTAAACAACTTTCTTAATGAAAGCAACTTCTTATTCTCAATTCATAAGGTCAATATCTTTAACTTGATAAAGAGTGATCTAATGAAAAACAAAGAGGCACACAGACAGTGATTCCAGACTTCAAGACTTAGTTAGGGTTATAAATAATAAGTTTAATGAAATGTTCCAGACTTCCTTATAACTAATTAAAACTAACTCTGTTACTGACTTCCTTCTAACTAAAACTAACTCTTCTAACTAACTAAAACTAACTCTGGTCTAATGTTCCAGACTTCCTTCCAGACTCTGACAAAGCTTTTATACCTACTACAAAGATCTGAAAGATTTCAGGGGAAGTAAAAGTTAGTCTTCAGCTAAGTATGGATAAATACCTAAACAATTGGATCCCAATCATGACAAGATATGGTATTGGTGTTTGACCAGGAACCTGTTTGTTATAAAGTTGGTGGTATTAACATCGAGGAATTCAAGATCTCAAGATCTATGGCAGCAGAGACATTAATAAACTTGAAAGAATTGTCAAATTTAAATGGTCTCAGGATGCATTTAGACCAAGTACTCTTTTGCACCAACATGCAGATGAAACTAAAGAATTTTGTACCACAGTACTTCAAAGAAACACTTTCCAGAGAGGAGACTTCAACTATTTATGCCAGCTATTGGTTTACTTCCTTGCAGATATACCTAATTTCTTCTTAAAGCAGCAGGGAGCTCAACACAAGACCAGGTTTATGAGTCAATTGCCCCTAACAATTTACACCTAACAACACCTTCCCCCACCCAATGTACACACATGCTATACAATAATGTATAAACTGTTTAAAGTATTTCCATATCATTTTATTTAATAAACTAAACTATTAGTTTCAAATACTTGGAATTTTAGAGCTTGGATTATTTAATTATTTTACAAAATAACCTGTCTGTTTAAAATTATTTACTATTTTCTAGGTTGTTCATAAAATCAGAAAGCAAATATCCAACAAAGAAGTACCTGCAGAATCTCACAACTGTCATCATGTTTTTGTTGCTTTTCATCTCAATTTAAAACTGTTATCTGAAATAAAATTGTCACAAAATCTGTATCTTCCTTATTCTATTAGATATATATAAATATATCTTTTTAAACATCTTCACTTCCAACAAGGCTGCAAGCAACCACTAATTAGAGTTGGAAGTGACTGGAAGAGAGATGATGAAGATTATAGAGCAACGATTGACAGACAACTTAAAAGAATGGAAATTATATGAATCAGTAAAGCAAGATGAAGGAAGTGAATTCTAAAGAACTGATGTTCAAGCAAAAACTAGAAGAATAAGATTTTTTGGAGCGCTTAGGAACAGTCATTGAAAAAGAATGAGATTTAATTGAGTGGCGAGTAACACGAGAATGAATTTTAGTAGATGGCACAAGAGACGTTAGCACTTTAGAGCACTTTTTTATTTTTTTTATTACGATGTGATAATGGCTAAAGGTTGGCTGCAAGAGCAGTTTCAACTATGTTTACAATGCATTTTTGCACTTGTCTAAAAGAAAAAGGGGATCATTAGAAGATCTGCCCCAGAAATGGCAACAGTATTCCATACAAGGCCGGATTTGAGATTTATAGAGAAAGAAAACAGAATCTGGAGTAAGAAAGTGTCAAGCTCAATAAAGAGATGCAACCTTAGCAGATGCAATTTTCGCAATAGATTTGATATATGGTTTCCAAGCAGATATCGGAAGTAAGAGTTAATCCAAGAAGATGGAGAGTAGATGACTTATCGAGTAAATTACCATTCATAAATATAGTAAGATTTAAACTTTTGCAATAACAATCGGGCAAAAAAAATTGAGTTTTATCTGAATTTTAAATCGAAACAAGTGTTTTGTGAGTGTTTTAAATTTAGAACTATCTATATTCGGAACTTCAAAATATAATATTCCAGAAAAATTTAAATATACAGAAATTACCTAAAACTGCCTTCTTTATCTTAAAATTTATTTGGAAGGCTGAAATTTTTGCTATAAGCTACTAATACATAATGATAACAATTGAACATTTTGATTTTCAAAAAAAAAAATTTTGAGACACCTACTCAACATAACATTGGTGCAAGTAGTACATATGAAGTATAATTTTAAAATACTATATTTTGCCATTTGGTCTAAAACAGTATTTGAATAAATATTTTCTCACAAAATTCAAAAAACTTTAACAGTTTAGAATAGATTTTATACAATTTTCATGTATTATAAATTTTTTATTTATTTTTTATGCATAGCCAAGCATCGGTAGGAAGCAAGGGGTTAAGCTCTCGCACTCACCTATACTCCCCTAAAATGATTAAGGGGAGCCATTTATGGCTCTTGCAAAGTATATTTTGTTCATAAACATTAACCACTTTTATTTTTCCCTATTAATAAAATTAAAAATTTCTTGTGCAATCTACGCTGTAAACTGCTTAAAAATAAACTGGAAACTTTTTTTTTATTTTTCTTAAACTCATATATTTAAAATAAAAATTTTATGCTAAGTTATTGCTTAATAATTTTTATATTATGTAATAAATTATATTTTATATACTTATTATAATTTTCAAATAAAATATATAAATTTATGTAAATTTGTTTTAATTTGAGCAAAATAAAAAAACAAAGTATAATTTAATGCTCTAAAAAAATTATATAAACACTTTTATTGCAGAACCTTTTTTTGTTGTAATAATTCTCTAACTTTCTGCGTTCACTAATAAAATATAACACCAAGATATATATTTTCTGCAACACTAAGAAAATATAAAAATTTTTCATAAACAGTAAAAACTTATTTAGCTTTTTGTTTACAAATTTTTTCATTAAATAAATAAAGTTTTTGATGAATTAATAAATAGCTAGAGTGAAAACCCCAAAAAAAAAACACTTAAATATAAAAAATTTTCATGGCGCAATAAACAATGCTTGTTATTTATATATTCTTGTAGCATTAACATTCCACCGAGGCCTATATAGCTATAGTAAACAGCAACTTTTACGTAATTAGTTAAATTTATAATAAATTTATTAACTAATTTCGTAAACAATTAGTTTACAAGATTACTTTTATACTAGTTAATACTAGTTAATACAAAACAGTTAATATAAAATACATTTCCCCCACTATTAAAACTGAGGCTATTTTTTTTAAAAAAAAAAAAGGATTTTAAGGATTTTAAAATCCTTTTTTTTTTAAAAAAAAAGGATTTTAAATTTAAAAGGATTTTCTAATATTTAAGGAGATTTGGTCACGAACAACAATTTTTCGAAAGAAAAAATAAGGAGAATTAAGGAGAAAACGATTATATTAAAAACAGAATCTTATTTTTTTCAATATATATATATATATATATATATATATATATATATATATATATATATATATATATATATATATATATATATATATATATATATATATATATATATATATATTATAAAAATATAGGTTTGTAAACTATCAAAGAACTTTATATTTTCTTTTTTATTAATAAGTATAATCCATTCACTTAAATAAAATTCCCTAGATTATTAAAAAAAAATTAAAAAAATAAGGAGAAATAAAGGAGTGTAGTCAAATTTTAACTTTTTTTAATGGTTATTTAAGAACATTTAAGTAGGTTTTTATTTTTAAAGGATATTTAAGGTTTTTAAGGAGGAGTGTGTCTACAAGCTTTACAGTAATCAATGTTTACATAGTTACAAGCTTATAAATACAATACATAGTTACAAGCTTATAAATACAATACATAGTTACAAGCTTATAAATACAATACATAGTTACAAGCTTATAAATACAATACATAGTTACAAGCTTATAAATACAATACATAAATACAATAGCTTTACAGAAATAATGTAAAATAGATCAGTATTTATTAGGGTTGCCACTCTTTCTGTAAAGAACACAGCACTAAACCAATTAAAATTTTCAATAGCTTCTACAATGCAAAAAAAAAAAGAATGGCAACCTTAGCCATTATAATAAATTTTTACTTCTATTCTGTAAAAAAAGTATCACATAATTTAGGGAACCTCTGATAATTTATATTAAGTTCTTAAGCTGGTATACAAATTATATAGAACCTGTTTGAACTTTATACACTGCCCTTAAATTCATTTTTGCCTTTAATTTCTACTTTAAAATAATAAGTTTTATCTTATGTTGTTTGCTTGCAATCAACTAATTTTACCAAAACAAAAATTTATATTATGTTGTTTCCTATTTAATTCTACACAATTAGCACTATTTGCCTAATGATTTTTTTCTTAGTAACGATATAATATTAGTAGCATTCACAGACTTATATGACAAAATATTTCCTAATAATATATTCTTCTTATCAATATTAATCTGAAGATTATAAATTAGAAGATTCTGAGTGCAGAAGCTTTAAAAGTATATTGAAAGAAGGGTATAGCTGCAATCAATGGTTCTCTGATCTTGAGAGAAATAATGAAAATTAGCTATCTCAAGATTGTCAATTTGCCTACACTACATTAAATCTAATATCGTCAGTTGTTTGAGTTCAGCTTTAATCTGGTAAAGTGTTAATTCAGTTACCAACTAGTGACTAAAAATATATTACAAACGCTCAATTTAATTTCATTTATTTCTATAAAAACAATGTTTTTCCTAACGCAACTCCAAAACATTCCATTCAATATTTAAAAATACTATTCAAGTCAAATCAGGTTCAGAATCATCATAATAACAATGTTACTAGTAACATGTACTTCCCATAACATAACCCAGTACTTCCTATTCAGTGTTTTGCTGCCATGTAGGGTTAGCCATTCTAAGCAAAGGCTAGGAAAAATAAACTCTGACTTGAAATTACTCTGCCTGGAGGCTCTTTGCTTGAGTAACAGGTAGAGATGATGTCTTGATAAAAATCATTGATACCTGTATCCAGCTGGTATCTTTATAGAAGGCCTCCTAAACAAAGACTTTAAGGGTAAGCAGAATAATTCTGTTGACCAATCTCGCACCACTTTTAAGCTGACTTGGATGTAAACCTGTGCTACATTGTTCCCTGCCAAGAATAATGAATGATAGATCTTTTTAACTTTAATCATAAATCTTTTTAATTTTATCATAAACTTGTGCCTCCTTGATAGTGGCTATGCAACTCTTCCTGTTATCATCTTATGAGGATACGTCTCTAAAATTGAGTTTAATGGTTCTGAAGCCAGCTGGTAGTAAGGTTTCTCTGTGGTAGAACTCTGGTAGCTCTCAGAGAGGCTGATTCCATCAATAGATGTAAAAATCAAAGTAATAACAGTAGTAACATGTTGCGCATGGATGGTATCCCTATTACTGCTTTTGGTAAGCATTGTCAAAGCCACATGAGGAACCCTACATAAAAACCTAGGGTTAATTAGCAGGACGAATAGGGTTAGATGCCATGAATGAGTCAAGTTCTCTTTATCTTAAACGATGCTTAAAGTAAGGGATCATCCGTAAAGTACGTATACTCGGAGGGGGAGAGGGGGTCTGCAAATGGCATATATGAAATGGGAGGGCAGTGCGTAGCGATGGCTAAAATCTCGGAAATTTTTAATACTGGGATTTCGGGATTGTGAAATTTGTCCCCTGGAAATCCCGGGATTGAATAGAAAAAAAACAATAAGTTTAGTGACAATATAACTAAAGTATTTAATAAATTAATGGACCTAAAATTAAGTTACAAACATGTATTAACTTGATTTTGTTATATTAAAACTTATCTAAGACTTTTAAAAATTAATGAACTTAAGTACTTTAAATTATAAAACAATACCTTAAAATCATAACACAGTATAAGTAAAAATAATAATTAGAAAAATATATAAATATGCATGACTTTATTACTTAAACGGACGCTAAAAAAATTTTGTAATTTAATAAAACTGTTTTTTGTTAACTTTATTAATTTAACTGACTTAAAAAAAACTTTCGTAAATCACGCACATATTTGAAATTAAAATTAATGGAAATAAAAAAGGAATTAAAATTGAAATAAGTTTCATAAAAGTCATTTCCTCAATCAATTTCTTCAAAATTATTGGGGGAGGGGGAGGGCCAAGTGTCCTTACTGAAAAAAAAAATATATATATATATATATATTATATATATATATATATATATATATATATATATATATATATATATATATATATAAGAGAGAGAGAGAGAGAGAGAGAGAGAGAGAGAGAGAGAGAGAAAGAGAGAGAGAGAGTATAATATTATACTTTATATGTTTGATTGAACATATTTTGTAAACAAGCAATAATGTTTTGAGTTTTATTTTTTAATAAAATACAGAAAAAGAGAGTTTTAAAAGGAAAACATTTCAAAGAGAATAAACAGTTACACAACCAAACAAACTACTATACCAAAGATGATGTACAAATTACTTAATTACAATTATAAGCTTAAACTATATTAACTCTTACTATTTTTTGACGATCCCGAAATCCTAGGAAGGTTCAGAGACTAATCCAGGGATTTTGGGATAAACAATTTGTACAAAATCCCGGGATTTCAGGATCCCGGGATTGCCATCCCTAGCAGTGCGTCAATTATAAAAGAAAGGAAACACTAAATTAAAAAAAATATCATAAAATTTTAGATAAATAGGTTAAAAGCGTAGGTACTTTTAGAGAGGTGGAGGGTACTCAAAAAAGCGTATTGCAAAATGCGAACAAAAAAAAAGCGAACGTACTTTATGAACAACCCCTAAGAAGTAACATTAAACATAAAAAGCCATAACCACTACCTGACTGTTTAGACATATCTTTCACAAATATCCAATCTTCGAAGTAACTTTCCATCAGTTGAATCTTACCTCTTGCAAAATTCACCAGACTTGCTTGCATTTTGTGAGACTAATTTATATTTGGCTGATTCTTCTTAAAGTCTCAGTATCAATGTTTGCTATCCTGAAACTCATAAAGACTCCAATAGTCACATGCAGGGCTCCAACATATAAATATGCACCATTTCACCTATTTGTTAAAAAGTTTGAAAAGTGGATTAGATCATTTTTTTTATGTGCTTCTGCTCAGCAGCTCTTTACTGTATCCCCTTTTTCTTTGTTCTTTATCGTTTTCCTTCTCAAGATTGCATGCTTTTAAGTGTAACTTCTGATCAAATTGACCATGTCATCTCTCTTTTCTCCTCTGACAATATTGTTATTATTTTTTTTTTCTTTAATGCTTATCACACTGAATGGTTCTGTTCAAAAACAACCTACCCTGCTAGCACCAAAGCTCATAATTTCCAAAACTCACAAAAACTTTATGACTCGTTTTTCAGACAACTCTAATTATTTACCTATATTCCTTGATTTATGTCTTGTCTCTGACCCTTGCGTGTGTTCAGTTCCTTCATGTTTTCCTATAGTTTCTCCTATATCTAACCATAATCTTTTTTTCCACCATTTTAAAAGTACGACTCTCTTGAGAAAAAATGCTTTTTTAATTATAGCAAGAAGTCAACATAAAAAGGTGCTGTTTAATACTATTCTCAGTTAAATAAATCTCGTATCATATCTCAAAACTGAACTATTAGCAAATAAATAACGTATTATTTAACCAACTTTATTAATTGAAAATAATTAACTACTTACATGAATATAGTTCATTTCTATTTAATTTAGTAAATGCTTTTAAGCAATCCACAGTCGAATTTTCTGAACTTAAACTAGTATTATGGCCTTTTAAAATTGTATAAATTTTTGGAGCTTCAAATTTAAAAAGGTTGTTTATTGTTTGAAACACATGTCTGATTTTCAAAGTATTTGTCAAGTTCTGTGAATTCTGAAACTGTGATTCTAAGGAATAAGCAATCGGTAAACCCAACAAAACCATATATAAAATTAACATTTTGTGTTTAATTTTTCTCTTTAGTATATGAGTTGAATAAGATTGATACGAGTTGAATATTTTGACTAAAAGTTTTCGTATGTAACAAGTTAAAATAAAATTTGTTTAGAGAAATCTCGTCACTTACATGCCACGTGATTTTCATTTTTAGTTGACTTAGTCAATTGTGAGTGGTCAGTTTCATTTAACTGTTTTTTTTTTCTTTTTTTTTTTTGTTGTTGATGTTATTTTATCAAGGCAAACAAAGACTTGAAATTAGTGATCGTATATTCAAACGGATTTGTTTGCGATTTATATAAAATATACCATCTGTAGATTTCAATTATCTAAATATCGTAGAAATTAGGGAAATCTAAAGAGCTAGCGACACTTGAGCTATCTGCTAAAATTCTATATCTACTAAAAAATAAATGGGAACCCTAATTAGAGAGTTCCTAAATAGGGTTCCCATATATTTTTTAGTAGATATAGAATTTTAGTAGATGGCACAAGAGACGCTAGCTCTTCAGAGCAGTGCCTTTTATAGTATTTATGCAAAAGAGAAAGAGAAGCAACATTACAACGATGCGATAATTGTAAGAGGTTGGCTGCAAATCCAGGTTCAACTATGTTTACAATACGCTTTTGCACCTTGTTTAAAAGAGAATGGGCATCATTGAAAGATCCGCCCCAGATATGGCAACAGTATTCCATACAAGAACGGATTCAACAATTATAAAGATAAAGAACAGAATCTGGAGTAAGAAAGTAGCGAGCACGATAAAGAGATGCAACCTTAGCAGATGCTAATTTTGCAATCTTTGATATATGGTCTCCAGGAAAGATCGAAAGTAAGAGTTATTCCTAGAAGATGAAAGGTTGATAACTCATCTAGTACATTACTTTTAAGAAGTATAAGAAGATCAAGATTATTGCGATAAGGATTAAAATAAAAAAAACAATTTTTTTTATCGGAGTTAAAGTTCACCAGGTACTGAGAGCCCCATGCTGTAGCAGAAGTGAAATCCTTTTCAAGTTCAAATGCTCTCTCCAAACAAACAGACAGTGTTGGCTACTTATTAAAATAAGAATAAATAGTAGTATTATCAGGGAACAATGCCACCTCAGATATGAGAATTTCTGGGAGATCGTTAATGTAAATTTAAAAAAAAATTGGGCTAAACATTAAACATTAAGGTTATAAAAGATTTTTTTACTACTAGTAGTAACCAAGATCTTTTATAACCCAATTTTTTTTTTTAATTTATTCTATTTAATCTATTTATATTTATATTAACGATCTTCCAGAAATTCTCATATCTGAGGTGGCATTGTTCGCTGATAATACTACCATTTATTCTTGTTTTAATAAGTAGCCAACACTGTCTGTTTGTTTGGAGAGAGCATTTGAACTTGAAAAGGATTTCACTTCTGCTCAGCATGGGGCTCTCAGTACCTGGTGAACTTTAACTCCGATAAAAAATATATTTTTTAATTCTAATCCTTATCGCAATAATCTAGATCTTCTTTTACTTCTTAAAGGTAATGTACAATATGAGTTATCTGCCTTTCATCTTCTAGGACTAACTCTTACTTACATTAAGTATACTAAACCCGGAGCAAACGGGGGAGGAGGGGAAGCAGGGGAATTTCCCTCCCCCCTCCCCCAATAATTTTTTAAATAAATAATTTAAAAAAAAATGACTGAAAAATAACTAAAAAAAAAAATCGTTAAAACTATTTTGGGGTCTCTTAATCCAGCACTAACCCCCCCCCTCAATATAATTTTTGTTCCTTCGGGCTTGCTACTACAAAAGAGACTATTCCTTGAGTTTAAAGTTTAAAAAGTAAAAGAATAGGGTTACATAGGTTCACCGGCCCCCGTGAAAAAAGTTGTTTTTCACAATTTTTAAATAAAGAAGAGTCTTCTGATAATAAACAATAAAAAAATTTCTGGGGATGTGTTGCAAGGTTTCAGAGCATGTTCCTATGCACCGTGATCACGTCGATAAGGGGTCGTCCATAAAGTACGTACGCTTTTTTTTTGCTAACCCTCCCTCCCCCCGCAATTTCCCGTACGCTTTTTTTTGAATACTCTCTACCTCCCTAAAAGTACCTACACTTTTAACCTAAAAACCCAACATTTTATGATATTTTTTAAAACTAGTGTCACCATACTTTTATAATTTACCTACTGCCCCCTTATCTCAGAAACGCCATTTGCAGACCTCCTCGAGCGTACGTACTTTATGGACGATCCTTTATCGCGTTAGCTACAACGTAGTAATTTACGTGTACATTTAAAGGAATGTTGTAATTATTTTGATAATTACAATAATTTACAAAACAATTTACAAAGTTACAAAACACATATAAGTGTTTTATAAATTTAGTATTTTTAGTCGACCGTTGACAACATGCAAAACTAGAAAAATCGTGCATAATGCGTCTTGTAATCAGAGGCAATTTAAGATGCATGTGTGTGTGTGTGTGTGTGTGTTTATGTGTGTGTGTGTGAGTGTATATATATGTATATGTGTGTGTGTGTGTGTGTGTGTGTGTGTGTGTGTGTGTGTGTGTGTGTGTGTGTGTGTGTGTGTGAAGAAGGAGGAGGTGTTACAGTTCCCACCCACCCCACCCCTCCCTCAAGTTATCGTCGAGATTTTCAAGTTATAGTCGGTTTTTTGACGAATTTAGTTGGCCAGTTTAGAATTTGACACATTTCAGTCGAGTAAATTTTCGTTTTTGTTTGTAGAATCGCCTCTCATTCGTAAAATCTCGCTTTCATTTTAATCGTAGAATGTTGCGAGTGTTGCTTTTAATGTAATAAAGACTTATTTAAAAATAAAAAGTCCTTTTTTTAAAAATAATTATAAAACTATAGGTAAACTTTTAAAATTTCAAAATGAATTGATTTCTTCTAAATATCACTTCTGTATTCCGAATATGTCAAGATACTTCACGTTTTTCACGAATAATATAACAACTTTTTAGCTTTAAAGGTTATAAAAAATTTATCAAGTGCATTATAAAATAAACATTCTTTACCATTTATGTATTCATGTTGATAGCAAATGAATGAAAAAGTCAATATACAACTTTTTGTTTTGACCTTTTTGCTAAACTCTGACTCACTGAGTAGTGGCTAGACTTTTAAAAGTAATTTCCTCAGTGTACTTTGTTTTGCAATGTTGACATTACAAATTTATAAGTTATACTTAATGCTTCTACATGATCTCATAATACTTGGTTGTTTTAAAGTTTCTTTCAACCCCATCCCTCATTCCTCCCCACAAAATAGAAATAAAATGGAAATAATAGTGTTAATAATGGAAACGTTGAATATGGAAACATTAGTGTTATTCATTCATTAAATATTATTTTAGTGAAATATTCAATGAAAACCTACATATGTTCATTTGTTTACGCATCCAACACTTAAGAATATTAATAAATAACTTACGTTTAGTTATTTAGTTAAATAAACTTATATAGTTTATAACACATAATTAAATTTGTTATGTCGTGTATCGTGAGTTTATTTGAAACTATAGTTGTCGTAACGATAGTTTCAAATGTCTTTGTTTCAAAACAAATTTTTCTTATTTATTATTATAAAAAGCTTAACGATAATCATTACATTTCAATAAAAATATTTTGGTATAAAAGTGAGTTTCCACTAATCCGTTTTTTCACGGGAACGGGATAGGAAAGGGATAAATAATCACGTGAGCATGCGTCGTTTTTCTTCAGACATATTAAAAGTTTTTCTACGCATACCCACGTGATTATTTTTCTCGTCCCTTTCCCGTTCCCGTAAAAAAACGGATGAGTGGAAACTCACCTTAATAAAGATGTTTTATTTATACGATTCTAGCTATTCGGCAAACAAACTCTATTTATAGACTGCAAAACGTAGTATTGCAAAATTGGTTCTCCATCCAAAAGTGCTACTTTCGAAAGAAGCAAAAAAGCTTTTTTTAATTTAATTACGAAAACTTAAATTCGAATGTATTACTTGCTAAAGGTTCTAAAATGTTTAGTCCCTTTTTTTTGTTACGAAAGAAATTAATTACTCATAGTCAATATTATTTTGAAAGAATTTAATTTTTTGGGAAATCTTCAGAATCTTCGTTCAAAAAATCGAAAAATCCGAAAAATTTCGAAAGATTCGTTCGAAATTTTTCTGTAAACTATCCTAGCATAATATGTTGATAGTTAAAATAATGAAGTCAAATATTTTATTTAAAATAATGAAGTCGAATATTTTATACTTTTATCTGTATAAAACATTAATCAATTTAAGAACAATTACTTATCGGTACGTATTATTATATGCTTTGAGTACCCGGTGGGAAATGAGCTAGCGACTAGCGAGCGACTAGCTAGCTTTATAGCGATTTTTAAAGCTTTATAGCTTCAAAAATTCGGTTTTTAAGATTTTTTTAAGGCTATTATAACTATGAGGATAATTGAACTTTAAACATTGCAATTTTCTAGCAATGTGTCGCTAGCTATGTAGCTGGCTACATAATATCTACAAATCTATAGTTGGTTGGTTGGTTGGTACATATCAAAAATTTTTAGACAACAATTTTATTATTTTTCAGCCAGTGGGTCTTTATCTTATTAAGCTAGCTGTCCTCATAGCCAAATAGCTGTCTTTATCTGTACAAATATCGATAGCTTTTTATTAAGTAAGCGAAAGCTTACTTAATAAAAAGCTAGCGATCCTCGTGGCCAAATCGCTGTCTTTATTGTTAAGATTATAAATAGCTATTCGCTAGCCGATTTCCCATCGGGTATATTTTGATCAAAAATTATTTTTTATATAGTAAGTTAAATTAAAAAACTTAATTTCTTAAAAATTTCAAAAATCACATGGGTCACTTGAGAAAAACCACACTGACCACTTGCAGTGACGGATCCAGGATTTTTTGATGTTAGAGAAACTTCAAACATGTTTATACTTAATTAATAATGCTTTTCAAAAAATTGCTATAATTGGAGGCTAGGAACAAAAAAGCCCTCTACATATATATGCAAAAAATATTTTATCAAGTTGTTGCCCCTTATGTTTAGGGTAGGGGATGAAGTTAAAGGGCTTTTTTGTTTCCAGCCTCCAATCAT